GGGCGTCCCCGACGCCCTGGTCTGCATCCCCCCTAAGTCTCTCCTCATGAGACATGGTTTCCAGATCCTTCACCATTTTGGTCTCAAAATTTGGTCTCTGAACACACTCTAGCTTCTCAACATCTTTTTTGCATTTTTTTAAAAATTAAATACTTTTCGAATTGCTCAGAATTAGACACAGTATTCCAGATGAGGCCTGACCAAAGCAGAATAGAGTGGCACTATTACTTCCCTCAATCTATTCTAGACACTATACATCTATGGATGCAGCCTAGAATTGCATTGGCTTTTTTAGCTGCTGCATCACACTGTTGACTCATGTTCAATTTGTGGTCTACTAGGAATCCTAGATTCCTATTACATATACAGTTGCCTCTCCCTCTTCATGGGGGATCTGTCCTGACCTCTGTGAAAAAGGAAAAACGCAAATATTCAAGCCATATTCAAGCCCCATTTTATGCTGCTCCGTTTGTCCCTTGTGGATAAGTGGGGATCGTGGACTTCAAGTCTGCGAAAATGGAGGGACAATTGTACCCCATCCTATCTTTGTGCATTTCATTTTTTCTGCCTAAATGTAGTACCTCACATTTCTCCCTCTTGAAATTCATTTTGTTATTTTTGGTCCAGCTTTCTAATCTATTGAGGTCATTTTGAATTTTGATCCTGTCCTCTGGGATATTGGCTACTCCTTCTAAGTTGTCATCAACAAATTTCATAAGCGTGCCCTCTATTTCTTCATCCAAGTCATTGATAAAGATGTTGAATAGCACTGGGCCCAGGACAAAAGCCTATGGCACCCCACTAGTCATGTCTTCCCAGGATGAAAAGGAGTCATTGTTGAGCACCCACTGGGTTTGGTTAGTCAACCAAATACAAATCCACCTAACAGTAGTATTGTCTGTCTTTTCTCTGTCCCATTATCATTTGCCATTTTCTCCACGCAATGGTCCTACCATTTCCTCGTTCTTCCTTTTAGTACAAACATAACCAAAAGAGAAAAAACAAACAAACAAACAAACAAAAAACCCGCCCTCTTATGGTTTTAACTTCTCTAGAAAGCTTGAGAGTCAGTGTGGTGTAGTGGTTTGAGTGCTGCAACTATCACTCTGGAAACCAGGGTTCAAATCCCTGCTCGACCATGAAACCCACTGAATGACCTTGGGCAATTCACTCACTCTCAACCTCAGAGAATGGCAATAGCAAACCTTCTCTTACCAAGAAAGCCCATTATAGATTTGCCTTAGGATCAAGACAAATCTTGCCAAGAAAGCCCATTACAGATTTGCCTTAGGATCACCATAAGTTAGAAATGATTTCAAGGCACACAACAATAAAAGCAAGCTTTTCTAATACTCTCACTACACATGCTGGCTATTTAAATTCCTCTCTGGTGATTTCCTCTCCTTTTCAATTTCTTGTACATGTCCCTTTTAAATCTTAGCTCAATTGAAAGTTCTTTAGACATCCATCCTGATTTCTTTAGGCACCTCCTATTTTCCTCCTCTTGGGAACTGCTTGAAATTGTGCCTTCAAATATCTCACTTTTAAGAAACTCCCATCCCCCATGGACCCCTTCTCTGTTAAGATTCTTGACTATGGGATGACTACTGGTATTTTCCTAAGTTTATTGAAACCAACTTAAAGTTTGGAATGCATGTCTAAGTACATTTGGCTTGTATTTTTTGCTGTATAACAAGCTCCAGGGGATCATGGTTAATCCTACCTAAGGATCTCAACCCTTCCACTCCAGTAACAAGGTCATTACTGTTGGTTGGGATGCAATCTAATATAGCAGATTCTACCTTCTGGACAATGAAATTGACTGCAAGGCAGTGAGGAATTTGTTGGACCTTAAATTGTTGACTTCCAGCAAATATCAGGATAGTTGAATCCCCTCATTACAGTATCATCTCTGTTTTCTGAATGTGTGGTCATCTATTCCAGAAAGGCATCTTCCAATTCCTCAATCTGGCCTGGAGGTTTGTAGTAGACCCCATAATGACATCTCTGTTGTTTTTCTCCTTCTTAATTTTTACCTAGATGCTCTCAACTTGGCTTACAGGATTTAAGTCATGGATTTTTTCACAGGTGTAAATATCTGACATATAGTGCTGTTCCTTCTCCTCTTCTCCTATTTTTTTTCTTGCAGAAAACAAAATTATATATACAACAATATAACCAACAGGAGTAAAATTATTACAAAATTACATAGCAAAAGTAAAGCAATTTAGAAGTATGAAAACAAAATGTAGGATAAACCTAGACTATAGGAGGTGGGCTACACCTACTTTCATGCAGAATTAATTTCCTGAAGCAATATGATGGCACGTGGAGAAACTGAGAGGAATGGTGGTGTAGCAGAGAAAACTATGCAATGCTATTAATCCAACTCAACCTTGACTAATGTATCCTCCCATCATCAACTTCAAGTCCTGACTGATCTTTCTCAAGGATCAAAAACCTTCATATGAAAAAGAATCTCCACCCCTGAAGCTGCTTGTTATCTTAGAACGGAAAATGATTAATGCACAAAGGAAGAGTTTTGTTTGATAAATGGCTTTGGAGGGCCTTCCTGCCCCATGCCTGATTTTCACAGCAGTCAGATAGGAAGGAACAACAAGGAAAGGTTGTTTTTTTTTGGGGGGGGGGGAAGTACTGCTCCCAAAATCTTCTAGTCAGAATGACCACTGTTCATGCTGGTTGTGGGATTCTTGGAACTACGGTATAGTCCAAAAACAGCTTTTCCAATCTTACATACTCACATGCTTATACTTATTTTTTTACTCATGCTTGTACTTACTCTTTAGTTCAGAGAGATGGAAATGCAATCATGTATTTATTTCTCTTCTGTTAACAAAATACCAATAGCATTTTTTTTCATTCTATGCCACCACAGATACATAACTGGACTCTATCTAGAAGATACCTCCCTATAAATTGACCTTTTAAACCAGACTGAGGCCACACTCCTAAGTACACTTACTAAGCAATGAATAAATTCCATAAATAATAATAATAATAAGGGATGTAATTCCAAGCAAGCATGCAAAATGGTTCTCCAACTTGTTAAAAAAGTAGAAGCCAACAGATGTAACAGATCACGTTGATTAGACTTCAAAAGAAACTTACACTATAAAATCTGCCATGGAACAAGACTGGAAGATAAAGCTGAAACTGGGATTGGGAAGCAGCCAAAGATATTGAGAAATAGAGGACAGACATAAGATTAATTCAGAACCAGAGATATACGCCATGTTCCTTCATAGAATCACAGAGTTGGAAAAGACCATAAGGGCCATCCAGTCCAACCTCTTGCCAAGCAGGAACACACAATCAAAGCACCCTTGGCAAATGGCCATCAAGCCTTTTTAAAAACCTCCAAAGGAGAGAGTGTGTTCCTCTGTTGAACATCTCTTACTCTCAGGACCTTCTTCCTAATGTTGAGTTGGAATCTCTTTTCCTGTAGTTTGCATCCATTCTCTGAAGCATCAGAAAACAAGTTTGCTCCATCCTCAACATGACATCACTGCAAATATTTAATCAGGACTATCATATCACCTCTTAACCTTCTCCTTTCCAGACTAAACATATCCTAAGCTTCTCTTTATAGGGCATGGTTTCCAGACCTTTGGTCGCCCTCCTCTGGGGATACGCTCCAGCTTTCAAGATCCTTTTTGAATTGTGGTGTCTAACAACAAAAACAACAAAAATTATTTCTATCCCGCCCATTTGCCAAAGCAATTGGGGCGGCTTACAAATTTAAAGTATTCCAGGTGAGGCCTGACCAAAGCAGAATAGAGTGATACTATTAGTTCCCTTGACTGCTGTGAAAATCTTAGCTAATATGTGAATATTTTAACCAGCCTCATGTGCTAGGGATGGAAGGTACAGTGTTATCATTCAAAATCAGTATCAATAACAATGGATTTTTTAAGGCAGATAGCAAACCCCCTGACATTTGGGAGCTGGGCTCTTTGTTGTTCAGATCTCAAGGCTTCATAGAATTAAAGTGCAAAACACATGCAAATGTGTAAGAACTTGTATCCAATACTCCCCCCATTCCAGCAGAGGTACCCAAACTATGGGCCTTATCAAACGCTGGCCACGAAGCGAAGAATAAGCAAAG